GAGACTCGCTTGAGCCCAGGAGTTGGAGGTTGCTGTGAGTATGATGCCATGGCACTCTACCCAGGGGGATAGCTCGAGGCTCCGTCTCAAAAAAAAGAAAAATAATAATAATAAAGTAAAAGTCTGTTAAGATTAATTAAAATTAATGCACTTGCCCCTCATTTACATAGCCACATGGCAGGTGCATCAGGCCGTATAAGGCTGTGGCCACACCCTGAACAGGGCAGCCCTTAGCCACAGGGGGCAGAGGGCTGAGGGGGCTGGCCATTTGGGACCTTGCTGCTGTTCTGGCTGCAGTCAGAGTAGCTGAGTGTACCCTGGCAACCCTCTGGCCCTACATGTCCTGCTGCCAACCAGCACTCAAGCCTGACCCATCAACCTGCTTCTCCAGGGTGGCAATGATGTCAAGGACAGGAGTACTCTGACCCTGGGTGCATGTACCTGTCACAGGATCTGATCTCAGCTGAGTGGAACCAAGCTCTGAATCCCAAAGGGTGCAGCTGGGTGTCATGTGTGCCATCTCTCAATCTCCCCACTGCCCTCAGCAACATCTCCTGGGAGCATATGACTCCCTGCTATGTCTTGGAGGAGGGAATCCCAACCAACATCTACATATCAAACACACAGCACTGTTATAAATCCTTCTCTGCTGACTTCTCCCTCAAAGTTGGTGCAGAACACAGTGATTTTTTTTTTTTTGAGACAGACTCTTTGTTGCCCTCAGTAGAGTGCCATGGCATCATAGCTCACAGCAACCTCAAACTCTTAGGTTAAGAGATTCTCTTGCCTCAGATTCCCAAGTAGCTAGGACTACAGGTGCCCACCACAATGCCTGGCTATTTTTTTGTTGCAGTTGTCATTGTTGTTTTAGCTGGTCCAGGCCAGGTTTGAACTTGCCAGCTGTGGTGTAGGTGGCCGGTGCCCTGTGCCCTACCCACTTAGCTACAGGCGCTACCTAGTGTCCAGGTATTTTTAGGGATGAGGTCTCTGGCTCAGGCTGGTCTCGAACCTGTGAGCTCAGGCAGTCCACCCACAGTGATTCTTAAGAATTGCCACAGAGCAAAGCGTATCTCCTGGATTGGCACCAGGTACAGCAGGGGTGCAGGGTCTTCTGGGGCTGAGGCTGCTGTCTGGCTATCCAGCTTCCTAGACAGGGACTTTGCTCCCTCTAGCTGTCCATGGGGCTGCCTTCTTCCTCTGTCCACCCAAAACACATCATGTCTGTAAGCACTTTGGGTATACCCAGGTCACTGCTGAAGAGCCAGGCACACAGCACAGGCGCTCAGCAAATGTGAGGGGCAGGGATGCCAGAGGCCACTGTAGGTGAAGCCAGTATGTTCCCTGAGTACCATAGGCTGGAAATCGGCTTCCACACACAGCCCCCACTGCAGCCTCCCAGATACATGGAGAAGCCACATGTTAAGGAGAGCACCTGGCACCACACACCAGCCTCACCTTTATTTTCTGCTGATGGTGGTAGATCTGCCACGCGATCTGCACGTGCACGGCACACCACTTCCCTGGTTTCTGCGACAGAACCATGATGCGCTCAGCAGTGAAGCCCAGTTCCTCCTCCCACCCTATGATTTCCCCAGGTTCCACTGTCATAGGCTGCCCCAGGGCCACCAGGACCCTCGTCCCCAAAGACACACATACTTACCCTGACCACTGCCCGGTATGGGTCAGAGACCTGTGGCCAACAGAGGAGAGGGTGTTAGGTTGATTTTTGTAGGAGGCCAAATCCTGGAGTGTGGAGGACACATGCCCTCTGCTGCTGCCACTAGCCCATATGGGGCTGGGCCAAGACATCCCCCTGGAGCAGAAGGTGGGCACCCATGACACCTACCCCAGGGGCTTTCTGCAGGAGCGTGTGAACAGCACTGGCCCTGCCTGTTACCTCCATTGGGTTTGAAGTCTGAGGGAAGAGAAAAGAGAAAGCATGCATGTAAGTGATTCTACCCAGGCAGCAGGGCACCTCTGGGGTCCCTGGTTCTGGACCTGTGCCATGCCTTGCCTTACTATGGGGCCCTGCACGCTATCGCCCAGGGGTGGCCTGGCTTCCTACATAGGACACCACACCTCAGAGCAGCAATCTCTGCAAAGGTTTCAGGGAGGGTGGCTTCCTACCAGGGAGACAGCCCCAATGTATAGGGGAGCTGCAACAGGAACACAGATAGGCTGTATTCCCTGTCTGGGAGCAAAGACTGGCCATGGACAGCTCTCTAGTCCAGGAACCTGGCCCTTCTGGTTCCTTTCCTCTGGGCCAAAGCCGTGGGTACCACATCAACTGGTCACCCATGAGCATGGACCTCTAGGCAATCACCCTGGCCAGGAGCAGCCTTACCGAGGGCCTGGCCAAGACGGATCCCCCACCTGACTTGAACCTTCTACATCCCCAGCTGCCAGAGCTTAGGCAACCAACCCTGGGAGTCCAGGTCTGGGAAACCCTCCCTATCTCCAAAAATGAACTTCATACATCCCTCTCAAGGCAGGCTCTGAGTCCTCAGAAACCCTCTAGGCCCAGTCCTCCCCATCTAGGATGTGGGCATTAGGCTGAGGGGCCTGCTGTGCATCTGGGGCTCTCTAGGCATTAGGGAAATCATGGGCAGTGAGAGAGAGGCTGCAGGATGCTGTGAGGTCAGGGGTTGGCTGGGAGCAGGAGTGGCCCAGGGCCATCCTCAGAGGTGAGACAACTGCAGGAGATAGGGGACACACATGCCTACTGACTTGGGAAAGGCTCATAGAGCTCCCCTCCCCTTATCTATGGCACAACTAAGGGATCCTGCCAAGGGTAGGGGTCTTCTGTGTTGAGACTGAAGTCTCCCATGGGGCACCAGTATCCACATATGTTCTTCTCTGTCCATTGCCACCTCCTCTCTAAGGACTTTTCCAGTCTTGAGTTCCTGATTCCCCTGCCCAGCAGGGCCACTCACACCAGTGTCTAGATTAGAATGGGTGGGGAGGGAAGTTCTGCAGTCCTCTCCCCACCTGAAACCCCACCCACCACTGTGCCCGCCCACTTGCCAGGAGCCACTGGTACCTTGGGCTGAAAAGCACCCTGCAGAGACCCAAAGGGGCCACCGGGGTGTGGAAGCAGGGCAGGCAGTCCAGGGATGGCGGGAGGGAAGGGCGGGAAGAACTGCAAGAGAAGGGAGAGGTTGCAAGGCCCTCACCCGTCCCCCCCTCTGCACCCAGGCCCTGGCCCAACACATGGAGGACAAGGCCACACCAGACTGGCTGGGGGCAGAGCCGGAGACTGGGCAGCAGGGCCCAAACACACAGGGACAGGCTCTGGGGGATGCCCAGGGACACTCACACTCACGCTGGAATGTCGGAAGTAGGGGCTGTCCAGCTTGGGAGTGTACTTGTCAAACTGGAAAGGAAAGAGGTGGGGTGAGGTCCCCAGCCCACACCTGATGCCCTCCTCAGGGCCCAAACACCCACCCACCCTGGCTGGGCTGGGCAGTGACCAGGGTGGCACTGTGCCTCCTGGCAATGGCCAGCTGTCCCCAGGCTTGAGCACGCCAGCCTGACAGCCCTCAGTCCCGTGGGGACTAGGTTTGCAGAAAATGAAGCCAATTTCCCATTCTAGTGGGCCTCTATGGAAGGCAGAAACTCGGCCCCCAGGCATTCTGTGTGTACCCAGAAGGGCCGTGGCTAGAGAGAGGGGCATGAAGCCCTGGCTACTACTAAAAAACAGGCCAGTTTAAAAACAAAGCTTAAGCAGGAGCACAGGAAACTAGGCTACAGGGTAGCTGCCTCCTTAGATAAGGCTCTGGGCCAGGAAATAAGGCCTCGGTGGGCTGAGTCTCAGTCCCTGTGGTCCCTCAGGCATCTGGGGCTCCAGACCAGACACCAGGGATGCATCATGGGTACAACTGGCCCCAAGGGTGTGTCACACATGTGGACATGGAACACCTGCCCAAACCCAGGATGGGGACCTCATGCTGTGACGTAGATGAGACCAGAGGGTGGGCCTAGGGATAGCCCCACTATCCAGCAAGCACAGGCTCAAGGGCTATATGGGGAGCTGGACAGAGAGATGAGACTGGCCTCTCTGCCTCCACAGCTGGTATCAGCCCGTGTGAGTGCAAGCGTGCGTCTGCGTGTACCTGCTGCATGTCCCCCATCTGGTGCCCGCCCCCCGCCCCCTGCCAGCACGCGGGCCTACGCACCGGCAGGGGTGCAGCGGGCGGCGTGAGCGGCGTCGGGGGCAGCCCTGCGGGAAAGGGGGCGAATGTGTGTTGGTGCTGGTGTGTGTGCTGGTGTGTGTGTTGGTGCGTGTGCTGGTGCTGGTGGAACTCCGCCCGCAACAGAGCCCCCGGGCCCAGGGAGGCACCAGGCCGCTCGGCGCTCTGCACCAGAAACCGCGTGTTCAGCTCTTGCCTGAGCAGCTCGTGATCTACAAGAGAAAAAGAGAGAGAGACAGAGAGGCACGTCGGCCGCGGGCTCCCGGCGGGGCGAGGCGGATAGTCACCTGGCACTCCCGGTTTCGGCAGGCCAAGCCGTGGTGGCCGCTCGCTAGGTGCGGGCCCAAGGGTGGAGGTAAGAGGGGGGCCTGTGACCAAGTACCAATCAGAATCCCCGAATGAGGCTGGCAATACATGATCGGCTGGTTGAATGAGATCAACAGGCCGGCATCTAGAGGAAGAAAGAACACTGTGAGCCTGCAGGGGCCTGGCCCCACCTCGCCCCTGCAGAATCAGGGCCTTGGACCTCAAGGCTCTCGAGGGTGGGGCTCTAAAGGCGCCACCTGGGGAGCTTGTGTCCAGCCACCCCCAGACCAGTCTCATGGTCCCATCCCTGGGTACCAGGCTGTCCCTGACCTGAGATGGTCTGGCTTAATCTCAGAAAGCTGTGGAGGCCCAGGGAGAAATTCCTTCCATGAGCTCCACCCAGTGATGGCCTGGCCAGAAGCACAGGGGAGGGAGAGGCTGGGCAGAGCCAGGTCCAGCCCCAACACAGGAGGGCAGGAGAGGTCAGAGTTCCTGCAGGCCAAAGGGGAGGCCCCAGCCATAGCAAATCTATAGGTGCATGTGTATCTTATATGTGCTTGCTTGCACATGGTTTCAAGGCCACCTGGGGACCCTGGGAAAAGGCCCTTGGGTGGAGCCCCAGAGTCCATTCAGGTGCTGAGGATCATAAGAGCCCCAACACATACCCCTCCCTAGGGGTCACATCCCTGCCATCTCTCAGCCCTGAGCAGGTCAAGACCAGGCTGAAGACACCTACCGGCCGGGTGTCCTGGGATGACCAGGCTGCTGGCAGGCAGCGCTGGGGGTGGGGGCAGTGTTGCTGGGGCAGCGAACATGGCTGCCGCGTGGTGCTGGTGCTGCGCCTGGGATCTGAGCGCCAGATGTGAGGTAGACAGGTGGGGGCCTGGCCCGTGCTGCGACAGCGACACGTGTTTGGCCGGGCCCAGGGCGGCACCACTGCCCGTGCTGCTGCTCCTGTGGGACACTGAGTCTCAGCGATGCCTGTGGCCACAGCCCAGGGACCCCATCTCCTGGGACAATAGGCCCTGGCAGTTTCATCCTCCCCTCGCATGCGTCTCCCATCCCACCTGGCAGATCCCAACCTCACCCAAATCCTTGCGGGCCCCACCCTTCCCTGAGGCCATCCAGGACCCTTCCACCCAAATGCCCCGCCCCCACCAGAGACCACGCCCCCACCTGAGGCCGTGAAGGCTGTGGGGCACCGCTGGGCCAGGTCCTGGGCCTGCGAAGGCGCCCAGGGACGCAGGCACGTGTGTCTGGAGCACGCCGCGGGGTTGAGGGGGTGCTGGCGGTGGCTGCAGGGTATGGCGGGGCGGAGCCGGGGCCTCTTTCTTCACCAGGGAGCTGGCGAGGACAGGCGGGGCCCCTGGGCAGGGTGCGAGGGGTGCAGGGCTGGCAGGTGGGAAGCACCCGGTGCTAAGCTCTCGGCTTCGCTCCAGGCCCGACACTTTGGGCACTGCCCCAGCCTTAGCCTCTGGCTTCTCGTGCTGCGAGGGGCCTGCGAGGAGATTAGTAGATGTGACCCTAGGCCTGCCCAGACTGGCCCCTCCTGTGGCCTAGAGGGACGGGAAACCCCAAGTCCTGCTCCCTGACTACTTCCATAACCAAGGGGGTCCTGGTACCTGCTGATTCTGGCACAGAGAACTAGTGGGTTCTTGTGCTCCGATCAGGCCACACCTAATTCCTGTCCAGCGGGGCAGCTGTCGGCTCCAAGGCCCATCACACACAGAGAGAATCCCGGAGCAGGGGCTGTCCTGACCCCTTTTACACTAAGTATTTGGCCCAGGAACTCTGTGGCTTTGCACCTTCACGTTTAGGCATACCCTGAGCCAGAACCTGCACCCAGCCCAGAACACTGTCAGCTGCAGGTGCCCACCTTCTCTCTCTGGAACCCCTGGGAGGAGAGTGACCACTTCCCAGGAACCTAGCCAAGGGTACGAGTGGATTGGTAGGGAAGCTGCTCCCTAGTATGCCTGTTGCCTTGGGTTATGGACCCTCCCTAGGCCTGCTTCCCCTACAGCAGCTCCAAACCCTTCTGCTGAGGCCACGGCAGGCAGTGTCTACTGTGAAGGATGTGGCTGGCACAACTGAGCTGACCCTGACTTGCAGTACCTCTTGCTCATGCTGCAGCAGACCCTGTTTCCTTTTGGGGGCCTGGATAGATGAACCCTGGTCACTGGGGCAACTGATCCCCTGGGCCAGGCAGCAGGAAATAGTTCTGTCTCAATTTCACAGCAGTAGCCCCAGGACCAGGTGGAAGCCACTCCAGATACCAACCTCTCACTGGAAGATCCCACAACATCAATCACCTCTACCCAACCTCCTCTGTTTCTGTTCCTTCCTCGGGGTTACCCTTATGGGGACTCCCCCTGACCCTTCCCAAATAAGAGTGGCTGTGAGGATGAAGAGGCAGGCTTGGCCATGCAAACCTGGACACAGCCCAGTCATTGAGTGGTGGGCACCTAGCCAGGTGACCATGTGAGGCAGGGCCTATCAGTGTGTCAGCTGGCCCCCCAGAGCAACCAATCCCACAAGCCAGCTGAGCACGTGCATTTCTAACAGTACCACTTTGGGAACCACCATTACAGGCCCCCACCTTGGCCCTATTCAGCAGCTACCTCTGCACCTGCTCTTTGGGAACTTTCTCGTCATCACAGCAGCCTGGCCCCTGAGACCTTGTCTTCTGATCAGGGGTGTCCCCTGTCACCCACACAACAGGGAGCTCCATGTCCCTTTTCAGAGACCCAGAAGCTGAGCTGAGGGAATACTCTTACCTTTATCAGCTGCTGGGGCAAAGAGCTTCTCAGAACCCACTGAAGCCTACAGAGAGAGGAGAAATCAGAGGTGGGTTGAAATGAGCCTGTCCCTCAGGCCCCCCATACCACAGACTAGTGTGCTTTGTGCATGTGCACACTCGGTTCCCAGGCTCCATGCAGGCCTACACACACGTTCATCCCCCTACTCCCTCTCTGCTGAAGGACTTTCTTAGAACCAATGCTACCCACTCAGTAGGTGACATGGGCACTGCCTGAGTCCTGGGGCAGAGTGTGGCCTGGGGCAGAGTACTGAGGTTTTGCAAAGCCATGGCCCTTGCAGCAGAGCCAGGATCAGAAGCCTCTTGGACTCCACTGGGCCTCAGCCTGGTAGGGCAGAGGCAGATGACGGAGAGGGCATGGTGCAGGTGCCCAGCTTAGCACCTGTGTGAAGATGGAAGAACCAGACACTGACTAGGCTGGAGATGCTGATCCACATGCTGTAGGACATCATTCCTTACTCCAGAGGCAGCTGGGGTATAGGCCTGGTGACCAGTGCTGTCAAGAGGTAGCAAGCAGCATGCCCATGCTGAGGGGTGAATTGCCAGCATGCTGGACGGTACTGGCCTGGTCCACTTCTCTACCCCTCCTAGAGACATACACCTAAGGGTGCGCCAAGGAATGTGATGGTGCCAGTGGCCAGGGCATGAAGGAGATCCCCATGCTCTAGAGGCTTTGCAGCTGTTCTTGGGATTGAGCCAGGTAAGAATGAACCTAGGTAGATCTTCCCTGAGCAGTGTAAGCTATGGACTGAATGGCTTCTGTTCTCACAGAAGCCACTGTTGAATCCTTACCCCAAGATGATGGTGCTGGGAGGGACGGAACGGAGCCCTCACGATAGGATCACCAGCCACATGACAGAACCAAAGAACTCCCTGGCCCCGTACTGAGGGCACAGTGAGATCATGTCTGTGGTCAGAGTAGCACCTTCACCAGAACCTGGCCTGATACACACTGACAATGGACTTCCTATCTGCAGGACCATGACAAATGGTGTATTGTTTATAACCCGCCCAGTCTCAGGTAGTTTGGCAGAACAGCCTGACATTGGAGATGTGTTTCATATACCACACAGGTCATCCAGTTAAAGCATCCAGTTTTCACTATGCCCACAGTGTGACACATCTGTCACCTAGAGAGACGCTGACCCTCCATTTATCATTCTAACCCCAAAGCTACAATCCACTTTCTTTGTCTCTGTAAAGCTGGCTGCCCTAGACTTTATGTGACGGAATCATGAATGTGGGTTCTGTAGGGACTGGCTTTTTTGGGTAGAATATTTTCAAGGCTCACATGCATTGTCACGGTCATCCTAGATAGATTTTTTTTTTTTTTTGAGATAGAGCCTCAAGCTGTCACCTTGGGTAGAGTGCTGTGGCATCACAGCTCATAGTAACCTCCAACTCCTGGGCTCAAGTAAGTCTCCTGCCTCAGCCTCCCAAGTAGCTGAGACCACAGGCACCCGTCACAATGCCCAGCTATTTTTTGGTTGCAGCCGTCACTGTTGTTTGGTGGGCCCCAGCTGGATTCAAACCCGCTACCTTAGGTGTATGTGGCTGGCGCCTTAGCCACTTGAGCCACAGGCGCCAAGCCTCCTAGATAGATCTTGAGGGATACTGTTTAATGGAGGAAACATTTACAAAGAAAAAACATACAGTGTTTGTGGATGTGCACTCACATTTATGCATGTCCACCTGCTTGTAACAGGCATGTGTTTATGTGTACAAGTGTGTGCACACTTGCCTGTGCCCCTGTAGTGTGTGAGCATGTTTATGTATTTGAGTATATGTCATGCACATGTGTTTGTGTGCACATGTGTCCGTGTCTATGTAGTAAAACCTCGGAAGGGTTTGGAGGACACATGTTCAATTGGAGAGAGCCACCCTCTCTGGGAACAGGGGCAAGCATGGAGCCTGAAGAGGTGGGGCTTCAGAAAACTTAGTTTGAAGTCTCATTTTCTTTCTTTCTTTCTTTTTTTTTTTCTGAGACAGGGTCTCTTGCTCTGTTGTCCAGGCTAGAGTGTTGGGGTGTTCTCACAGCTCACAGCAACCTCAAACTTCTGGGCTCAAGCAATTCTCCTGCCTCAGTCTCCTGAGTAGTTGGGACTATAAGCACCTGCCACCATACCTAGCTAATTTTTCTATTTTTAGTAGAGACAGGGTCTTGCTCTGTTCAGACTGCTCAAGAGAGCTTCCTGAGCTCAAGAGATCCTCCTGTCTCGGTCTCCCATAGTGCTAGGATTACAGGCTTGAGCTACCACACTTGACTTTAACTCTCATATTTTAAGGGGAGTGAATTCAAATATTACTTCTGTAATTAAAATGTAGTGGCTCAGTGCCTGTTGCACAGTGGTTACAGCGCCAGCCACATACACTGAGGCTGGCAGGTTTGAACCTGGCCCGGGCCAGCTAAACAACAATGACAACTGCAACCAAAAAAGAGCTGGGCGTTGTGGAGGGCACCTGTAGTCCCAGCTACTTGGGAAGCTGAGAAAAGATAATCAATTAAGCACAAGAGTTTGAGGTTGCTGTGAGCTGTGATGCCACGGCACTCTGCCAAGGGTGATGTAGTGAGACCCTGTCTCAAAATAAATAAATAAATAAATAAAATGTAGTAACAACAACTGTACAACAGTGAGACCTTGTCTCTACAAAAGATGAAAATAATTAGTCAGGTGTGGTGGCTCATGCCTGCAGTCCCAGCACGTTGGGAGGCTGACATGGGAGGACATCTTGAGGCTAGGAGTTGGAGGATGCAATGAGCTGTGATGATACCACTGCATTGCAGCCTGGGCAATGAAATAAGACCCTGTCTCTAAAAAGGAAAAACAAAAAAATGTAATAATAATAAAAGTAATAAAATAAATAGTATTTGCTGCTACTTGGGAGGGAACAACTAGGCTTGCCCCAAAGGAGCACACAGCCATGAGTAGACACAGACTGGGGTGTGAGGCCAAGGGAGCAGACTGTAACCCAACCCACACACCAGGGGAGAGCAGGGTTCCTCCTGGTGTCTGTTCCATTCCCCTCATCTATAATATGAATTGTTACTCCTTAAAAAGCTAAAAAAAAAAAATAATAAAAAGAAGATTCAGAGTGATAAAAGAAACATGTAAAGATCTAAGGTTCTCCCAACCTGCTAACTGATCAGGCCAGTTACAAAACCAAGCAAGGGCAGGTGGGGGTGTCTCACCAGGAAGAACCCTCCCCCCCGGCCCCCCAAGCCAGGGCTAGGGTCAGGCAGAAGGATAGGTCACAAAGACACACCATGCAGGTGTCTGCTGCCCCACACCAACAGCTGTAAATTTAATACCGCCCCTATCAAAATCCCGTAAGATAGTGTTCAGATATTAGGAGCTTAATATGTGACCCACTTTCCACACAGCTCAACACAGGATAGAGATGAGAAGGTCCCGTGTGGTGCTGGAGCTGGGCCAGAGTCTAGGCTCTGTGACCCCAGGCCAACTGTCCACAGGCTGAGAACACTGTGTCCATCAACAGGCAAATGGACCAGCAGCCTGCCCCAGCCAAAAACAGCACAAGCTGTCTGCACAGGCCACGTGAATGGGTCTCAAGGATATTAGATGAGCAAATGCCCTATGTGTGGGGTCCCATAGCTTTCTGACCTAGGACAAGCACTTCCAGCTCTTGTGGGATGGGGGTGGGTAGCTTTCTGGATTGATGGTGGTGGGTACACATTGTAGGTATAGGTCAAAATGCACCAAGTGCACGCATGAAATAGGCACGGTTTATTGCAAGTGAATTACAGCACAGGAGACCAACAAGAAGATGTGGTACTGATGTGCAGGTAGACTGAGATCCAAGGAGTGGAAACTAGGGTCCAAGATGGACCTAGTGCAGAGTAGCTGGGGGCTCATCCCAATGCACAAGGCCTGACTGGTGGCTTGGAGAAGGGCAAGTGAGATCCCTATTTCATTCCTATATCAAAATAACTCCAGACTAATCACAGACATAAATGTGAAAAATAAAACCATAAATGTATTATGAGATGCCTAGGTGAGTGGGAAGCCATCCCTCACTTTACTCTGAGAAAGAGACAGGAAGCACAGGCACCCTGGGTCCCACTGAACACAACCATGAACAGGACCCTAGTTCAAAGGAGGAGGATGCAGGCCACATTTCCTTCTTCAGTGGACAAGAAACCCAGAAAATGCCTGAGATTGAGCTGAATGGCTAGGGAACAGTGCAGGTGGAGGCCTCCCACAAGGTGGGTCGGGGTGGGCTTGCTGTCCCTGTGTGTTCACACCAGTGACTGCTGTGATGGCTGGGTTTCAAGGGGTAGTTAGGCCCCACATATGTCTGCTCTCCCACCAAGCTCCCTATGGGGTCAGGGGGTCTATCTGCTAGGGAAGTGCATGTCTCCTGATACCCCCAAGCCCAAGAAGCAGAGTCAGTGCTGTTTCAGGAGGGCTCCTACCTCAGATCCCTCTCAGGTGTGTAGCTCCCAGGCCCTTTCAGGTCTCCCCAGTTAACGTCCACAAGGCCTGAGAAGACCCAGATCATCACATGCCTGACAGTGTCCTCCCCACAGCTCCGTCCTGCTACGTACAGGATTCAAGTCAAAGGACCCCAGCCACACCCTGCACAGGGACACTTCCCAGCCCCAGCCTATGTGCCATTCCAACCCAGGAGGCCACATACCCCTACCACCCTATGGCCTGGCTGGTAGCACAGGAGAAGGAACAGCAGGAGTCTCTCATGCCAGGAAGGCCAGAGGGTCCTGGAGATCTCCTTCTTATACCCTTGGAAATCCCATCCAGAAGTGGGGCCTCCCATGGGAAATAAACAGTATTTATTTTCTGCCTGGTCCTGCCTCCCTGCTGGGGCCCAGACATGCAGTGACCATCCCAGGGTCAGCCTGAAGCAGGGTTTGGCTCCTGAGAACCAAGGAGCTAGCACATGGGACCATCTCAGAGGGAGACACAGCACAATACAGGCAAGGGAGTCCCACTGAAGGAAGGCCACTAGTAGGGGCCAGGAAGGGCTC